CAGCAGCAGCAGTAGTAGTAGTAATTGTTGTTGTTGGTGGTGGTGGTGGCGCTGGTAGTAGCACGTAGTGGTGGTAGTAGCAGTTGTTGTAGCAGCAGCCGCCGTGCAAAGGCGGTGTCGACGAGCACCGCACACGACCACTGCCAGTCGCCTCGAGGCTCTGGCCGCTGAAGCTCTGGAATATGGGCGTGGTCAGCTGCACCGTCCTCTGACTAAGGAGAAGGCCCCTAGAGCAAGCAGGTGCTGACCCCAGACCTCACACTCAATACCCCTCCTACACTTCCATTTCTCAGCCCATTTGGAAAATCAACCCTTCACCCCCACAATACACAAAGCACCCCCCAAAACAAACACAATAGTCCATTAACACACCCCGAAACAAAGCAACTCCACAACCAGCAAAGCAAAGTTCCGCAACACAACCCCAAACACAAAGCGCCTAATTAAACAATCCTTAACCTTATCCAGAAAATAACCCATATCCTGATGGGGTCTCCTAATAGCAAAAACCCAACAGCCCACAACACTGAACTGGAAATGACGGCCGCATAGGTTTTTACCGAAATTAAATTAGCAAAAAAATTGTGTTTATGACTATTCGTTCATTACTGTAAAAGTGGTGCCATTCCGTCTGCTTCCTAACATACTTTCTTTACTTCCTCTTTTCTCATAACGTCTACCGTCTAATGTCCTCGCATCCACCATTTCAACGAACACTTTTGCAACCCTTGCATAAACCATCGTGTGACAGTTGTTTTCAATAAATAGTACACCAGTTAAGGCGTCCATAACTTCGGTCTTTATCAAATTCAGGTCACTTTTCATTTAGTTGTTTCCTGTATGTTTTTCTGTCCCGATGTTTCTGCCATTAATATTTAAGTTTCCATGTCTTTAAATGTGTTTCTGTGAAATTATGGTTTTAGAATAATACAATATTTCACATGCTCTCAGTGTGTCATCAAATTGACCTCATAATATTCTAATGTCTCTTTCCTCGGAAACTTTATATCTTTTTTGTTGATCCGTTAACATAAATAGTTCCCTTGTTCTTATACGCATCACTATCTTTATCCATGTGTTTATTAACTGGTTTAGGTTTAGTTAGTAGCTCATCAACCTTTTTTTGAGTTCCAACTTCCCTAGACTATTTTGACATCGCAGGGCTTTTGCTTCTTGAACTTCAATATCATCTACATCAATCATAACTATATAAAATGTTTTAGGTGTTGTTGAAAATGCGTTTATACATCACTTATACAGAGTAGATTTTGTTTTGTTTCCATTCATCATAGCAAGACATCTCGACAAATCCTAAACTTTTAAACATGTCTATATCTTGACATAACTTACACTTACGACAGTATGTTATTTAAAATGCTCATAATCATATTTCGCATTATCTTTTTCAACTAATGACGCAGCAATTTTATCCACATAAATACACATTGATTTGTCATCCAATACAGATTATAAATAAAGGAACACTTCCAAACAAATTACACACTTGCTTTTGATCCCCCTTTCCTGCGTTCATTCAATCAATGCTTGGGATGAGAGGGACACTGGTTTTTCAGGCGGGGCAATTTGTTCCTGCTGCATCAAACTGTACAATTAATAATATACATAAAAAGACTTCTTAAATATTAATCCATAATATTTCAACTGTTTGTTAACTTGTCAACATGTTTATCGATTCTTTCTACATCTTCTTCAAGTTTACCAAGTCTTTCCTCGCATTATTCGGTTCTAAGTTCCCTGTTTGCGCTCCATCCTGTGCTACAAAGTTCAAGGCTTTCGATTTGTGGCATGTGTCTGGTTTAAATGTTCCATAATCTTCCTGCCTTTACCAAACTTAATACTACTCCTATCTTCGACAAGATTAACAACTACTTTATTGTGTTCAGCGGTTGCTGTACTTTTCTTTATGATATGTGTATTCCTTTTACATCTACCAAAGAGACAGTTACTACCATCTTTATTTACGTGTATCCCTCCATCTTTGCTCTCGTCCATTTGTCCTCTTCAGGTTTAAATTCGTAATGTTTTACAAGTGTCTTTATCAAATGTTATAAACGATGACAGAATCTACGATATTTGGGGGGTGTTCTTATTTCTTCGATCTTCTCTATCCCATCGATTGTCGTTACGTACGCATCATGGTCGTTCTTGAATAAATAACGATATAAATTTCCCATGTATTATTGATAATGTCTAATCTTTCAGATATACAACCCATAAATATTCCAGTACAAGTATCATCAATTTAAGTATATGACATGGTGTCAACACTGCCGTTTCGTTCAACAGTTGTTGCCAGTTCTACGGGCGGTAAAACAGTTCTAATTTAAAACCGTTTATTAAATATGTATCGTGGATTGCTTGAATGATTCTGTCATTTTAGTCCCGGTGTCAATTCAGATCCTGCTTTTTGTGAAGTGAAGCTTTATCAAAAATAAAAATGGATGACACAAAAAGATATATTTCGAGTGGTTCAACCCATCAGATTTACAAAAACATAGAACGTCAACAGAAAGTTATTGATTCTCACAGGAGAAATAAACAAAAGCAGCTATTCAGTATATGTGTTGCAATTGACGACCATAGCGACGACGATGCAAAACCTATTCGATATTCTAGTATGCTACACGGATTGCTTACGAGAAGGCGACAGCAGGCGATTAGTTGTATTTTTAGTCTTCAAAAGTAATCATCAACTCCTCCAACTATGAAGTTGAATGCCTCATATATGTATATTTTGAATATGACTCATGGCAGGCGTGCAGGCATTCATAGACGAAAGTAGCTCTTTAGTCGGCAAAAAGCAATTACATGAAATGTACGAAGAAGCAGTTAAATATGCTCTTTATTCATTCTTTTATGAAAATATGAACAGGAGAGATATTAATAGAATGAATTACATTCATTTTCAACATGTAATGAGTCTTGATGATGAAAGCGATTAACATTGCTATGAATTACATTGGTCTGAAACAAAGAACAACTACACGAATTACAAGGCACACACTTTCCAGAATCGCTACATTTGTTTATGCTTCAAGCGTTCTGACTCCTCTTCTAACGTCTGTACTTTCTGTTGAAACTTGTATAGTATTAAATACAACTAACTCTGAGTTTGTCCTTTGTGTGTGTTGATCTGATTTCTTGTCAACTTCCTCATGAATGTTTGGCATTATATACCAACTTAGAGTATAATAATACTGCTTGAAAATGAAACTATTAATCATCATCATAGATTTGCTTTAGTATATGCTAGTAATTTCATTCCGTCATCATTTAATACATTATGCTGTCCCATTCTTGCGGCCGTCTTGCATCTGTTATGTCGTCTGCTACAAATCCAATACTACTTTTTTTGATTTCATCATTAATAAAACCATATGTTTTCGGTGTAAGAGTTTTTGACTACTCTATAGCTTTCATTCGTATTTGCCTCTTTACAGTTCACGTTCAGTTTGATGTTTCAGTTAAAGCAACACAGGCTACATTTCCGTCAATATCAGCATTTGTGGGTTGTGTTATGGATTGTTGCTTGGATTGTTGGGGGTGCTTTCTGTTTTGTCGGCTTGAAGGGTTGATTTGTTCGGCGGGTTGAGAAATCGTGTTGAGTCGTGGAGGGGTGTAGGATGTGAGGTGTGGGGTCAGCACCTGCTCCTAAACCCGAAATCCACAGACCCGAACCTTAAACCGCCTTTTGCATCCACCTTAAACAGCCTTTTGCATCCAGGACTCTTGCAAGCAGCCGGGAAACTCCACAAGACAGTGCGTAAACCCTTCAGCAGCACTCGTGGCTACTAAAGGATCGAACATACACGACACACGAGTTCAGTCGTAGCAATATCAGTAAGCAAAACTCTTAAACAGCCTAAAACCCTAAACCCTAAACCCTAAATCCACTGACCCAAACCTCAATCCGCCCAAACCCCACACCCGATACGTCTGCGCATCAAGTCTGCTGGAAAGCTTGGGCCGCCTCGCCGCATCCGGGCCCAGATCACCCCGAAACCTGAAGGTCCGAGGAAGTCAGGGCCTTAGGGTTTAGGGTTTAGGGTGATGAAGGATATGAAAGAGAGCGTGTACTGTAGGGGCCTTTATAATTAGAATAGGGTTTTGTGGTATTTTATGCTATACCTATAATAAGGAACCCCCAAATTCATAGTACAGATAATTCTTAAGGCCTCTATATTAACCGAGTAGGAACCGCCCGTGATCGGCCGAGAGGCATGAGAACGGTGCAAGGTTTGAAGTGCTGCCCGATGAGACGGTCAAGTACCGTCAGGTCTTCTGCTCCAGTCACGCCATGTCTTTGGGCGAGGGGGAGCAAAGATGGCGCCAAGTAGCCTGATTCTCTTGCACTATCTTTCGGAACCTGCGACCTCTAAACCTAAAATGATGTCCTGAACCCTGCACTGCCACTAGTTCACGAATACCATGCACCGGCTGAGCAACGCTGATCATCCGCGGGCACCAAGTCGAATGCTAAATCAAAGTCGCCCTCCAAGCTGAAATATCCTTGGCTGACGAGAGGTCCCTGGCCGCCGAAAAAAGCGAGCTTGCTTATGCTAGAAAGCTTGCAAAAGTCTGTTCATTCAGCTACCAAGTGTCTGATCTTGCTGTTGGGCTCCTCCCCCGCTTCTCGGAACACCGCCGGAGCAAAGAAAGGCTCATCCTTAGTTCAAACCGTCATGTTTTTGGCACTCACACTCGGGCCAGCCTGTCAGACGGCATGCACCAAAAGCTTTGAAGACTCTCGAATGGGGTACTACCCAAGCCAACGCCGACTGACAGCCGCATTCTTCGGCTTGTATCTAGGGCTTTGGTTTCCAACTCTTGCGCCTCAAACTCAAGCCCTCTTGGGCTTAAAGCTGCCCTAAACCCTGAAAGAAGGCGCTTGCGCTCTCGCACTCAGGCTCTGCCCGATGAGCTTCTCGAAAATTTCGGGGGTCGGGTTTCCCTAAAATCCCCAGCCCTCAAATCCCAAAGCCCACGCATTTTGAGCCTGGCAACCAGAAGCTTGGACCTCACTGACTGCGACACCAGGATCGCGGACTCTTCGCAGAGATCCTCTCCTTGGGTTTTTTTTTTGTTTAGGGTTTAGGGTTTTCTAGGGCTTCAACTCGGCGGGTTTAGGGGTTTTTTAGCTTGTTTTTTGAAGGCCCTTTTTTTGGTGTCTGCAGAGGGTTTAGGCTCTAGGGTTGTGGGTTTAGGGCGGGTTTGGGGCTATTTGGGGGTGTCGGGTTTAGTAGAGTTGAGGAACCCGAAAAATCCCTGGGGTTTTACTTTTGGGGGTTTAGGATCCCTGGGGCCTGGCTTTGGGACTTTAGGGACCTAGGATGTGGGGATATTTTTCGAAAATAGGGGACCCTGAGACAGCACCCGAAATAGTAGGATCCTGATTATAAGGACCTCAAAAATTAAATAAGGTACCCCCTTATGTTCGGACACTCCCATGTAGGGCCAGTGTTCCAGCACAGCGATGTCGACACTCATATTCGGTGTATTTCGCTACAGTGGGATTTTGCTGCAAGCTTCTATCGCCAGGGATAGCCATCGTCATGCAGAACTCGCGATTCCTAAACCCAAGACTCTCAAACCACGGAAGCTACAGATGACATCCTACATTGTCTGACGCGTTCCCTGTGCTTCGCTGAGCGGCCAAGGTAGTAGGCACCCCGAGCCACTTCTCCAAGTAGATCCCCATGCTCGTTGAGGTAAAGACCCTTTCCGGCATGCACGCCGATGCCGCTCCTGGTGCAGCCACGCGGACATGAGCAAGTTGATCTTCTCCAGCTAAGTAGGATATGTTGCACTGAGGCGAACACAGCTGGATGGAGAAGTGCTGACGATCCTCCTCGGCTGCTCTTAGCACACGAAGCCCTTGCTTCACTTACACAGTTACATATGCATACTGAAGAATGCAATGCTGGCGGCACACCTTTAAGGACCGATTGTACGCATGGATGACTTCTCGCATTTCCAGAGCAGCCCTTACCGCACTGCTTACAGCGCTGAAAGCCACAATGAGGTTGTCCGCCTCAGCCCAGCACCAAACAAACTGGTCAATGCAGACTGTAAAGTGGATAATGTGTACCAAAATCTTATGTAGAGTGTAAGAAAATTTTCGCGCACATACTATACCATACATGACATACATACATACATATATATATATATACATAATGTGTGATCTGTATCATGTGATACAATACTATATATTCTGCCGTATGTGATTGATGACATGAAACGGATTATATAAACTTGTAATGCACGAGATAAAATACTTGTAAATACATCATGTAAAACGTGTACGATATAATCCAAAGTTAAACAAACTGTACAAAATACACGCAATCAAACATATGAGATATACTATGTAGTTAGTTTATAACATGTGATTTGATCAATGTGATGTATAAGATACCAAACATACACAAAGATATGTATACACATGTGTATATCTGTATAATGTACGTATATATATATATATATACGTAATGTATGTACGTATCTATGTATGTATGGGTGGATGTATGTATGCATGCATGTATGTATGTGTAAAATTCATTCTAAACGACGTATACAACATTTACTACATGATATATAACTCTTGAAATACGAGAACACTGTCTGCGGGCATACTGAAGAGATTTAGGGCGTAGGGTGTAGGATATCAATCCAGGGTGGCGAAGGCTCCTGAACATAATACGAGGCCCAAACACATGTAGTGTAATTTGTCTCCGGGAGATACTATGCTGCAACGGAGTAGGGACTGCAAGGGGGTGGTATTCGGAACAGTTTCCGACCCTTTCTTGCAAGGATTTGGTAGACCTATGTAGAATACTCACGGAGTTTTGCAGGCGCATATGTGTGTGTGTACATGCAGGTACATACATGTATGTAAATATATATATATATATATGCACATACATTTATCTGTGTATCTGTTTATATTTTTGTTCGTATGCACGTATGGATGATACATAGTATATAACTTTTCATCTATCTACAGTATACATCATAACAACATATAACATACTCAGTATGCAGCATAATTCCACCTGGGGCCAAAGCCTCAGTAGTGACTTTGACAGCGCTGTACTTCGTCAGAATCGGCCAACACAGCTGGCGCTTTCGCATGATAATGCTCGCGAAGTGCACGATGCCTTGCGAGAAACCATTGATCATTAGGTGTTTTTTTGAAGGCCAGTCTCCATCCAGCAAGAGGTACATTAGGGTTTAAGGTTTAAGTTCCTCCTGTGACCGTGCTCGGTTCTCAGCATCCACTGGGCTGCGCACCACACGCTCGTACGGTGGAAGTGAAGCCCTGTAGATCAGACACGAGCACGGCCATTTCCTCGTCATAGGACTCCAGGACTGCGGGCGTTTCCTGGGTTCTTGTTAGGGCATTTTCTTCACCGCATCACCATTAATACGGATCTATAGCAAATAACAACGCTGATAATAAACTGAGATTAAATCTCTGAACAATTTCCCAGTAAATCCCTTGACAGGATCTCATTGAATCCCTTAACAAGAACCCCTTAAATCCCTTGACAAGACCCATTGAGTCCCTTAACAAGAACGCATTAAATCCCTTAACAAGAACCCATTAAATCCTTTGACAAGAACCCATTAACGCCCTTAACAAAAACCTATTGATTCGCTTAACACAAACCCATTAAATCCCCTAACCAGAACCGACTAAATCCCCTAACAAGAACCCTAAACCCTAAACCCTAAACCCTAAAACCCCAGTTTCATGGCCAGCTACGCCGACCTCAAAGTCGACGTCTTCGAGTCTCGCCTTCCTCAGCTTCGCAACCTCAACCCTAAACCGCTCAATCCGAATGTAGGGGCCTAAAGAATTATGGGTTTAGGGTTTAGGGTTTAGGGTTTAGGGTTTAGGGTAGAGTATAGGGTTTAGGGGGTTCCTTGTTATATCTGTATAATTATACTATAATATACCCCCAGGCCTTATTCTAATTATAGATTTAACCCTCGCATCGGTGCCAGACTTCCGACAGCAAATCGGCTGCCGAGGGTCTTTTCGGGGAGGAGACGCTCGTTCCAGCGGCGTCTGGGGAGTCGTGCCTTGATAGTCGGGTGCCATCTCGAAGTGCAACAAATGTCCTGGAGTCCTCCAGTCATCAAGAACATTAGTATATTTTGCGCGGTTCCTAGACTTAGGATACCATATACTTGTGGTCATCGCAATGATCCGAATCCGAATATTGAGGGTCTAGAGTAACCGGTGGGCACGGACGTTTGTTTCAGCCCCGGTGGAAGTCGATATCCTTGGCGAAGAAGGTCCATCGTCGAACCAGGCCCACATTGCTCAACTCATGGTCGTTCAAAGAGCACACAGAGTTTCATTCCAGACTTCCGCATGCGTATAGCTGTACAGTTTATGTGAACTGGTTGCGCCAGGAGGCTCCCTGAGAGATCCTGAGAGTTCGACCTGGCTAGGGCGCTGCGCATGGCTTAAACCTTGCTCGAAGCTTGGCAGCTTTGCCAGTTGGAGCCGACGAGCAGGAGGGTGTAGCGTTCATGTTGTGGCAGTTTTCCACTTCAAGACTGAAGACCAGGACCCTAAACCCTACAAAACCCAAATGCCACGATACTAGTAGGACTGTGGTAGGGCTGACATCCCACAGCTTCGATCTCGGAGACGGGCTTTGAAGCGTTGCGCTGCCCATCCTGGAGCAGGGAAGGGACAAGCAAAGAAGAGGCTTCCGCACTCACTAAGACATAGCAAAGGCTTTGGGTTTTGGTTTAGGGGTTTAGGGGTTTAGGGTTTAGGGGTTTAGGGGTTTAGGGTTTAGGATTTCTTGTTTCACCACACCGCTACTCATCTAAATAACAATCCAAGCCGACCTGTCGCGCTGCACGGCTGATGTCGCCAAAGCTGGAAGCTCGGATCATTGCCTCACCATTTCAAGACCCCGGGGAACTTCGAGACCGAAGAGACAGGGGGTGGCCAGGGGTTGCAGGGCTTTAACGTTTCGGCGCTCATTCTTGGACTGTTCAGGCGAGGCAGGGGTGGCTTATGGGGTTTGCGGGTGTCAATAAGTTAAGGCGTAGGTTCTGTGCATCCCAAGGTGCCCCGGGACTTCGTTTCCCGGCCCGCTGCGACCCTGCAGCCATGAGAGCCCAATTTGGGGAGCTACACCTTTACTTGCGCGACTTAACTTTGCGGTGTAGCCCGACGAAGAGCGTATAGTGCGTCTACATCACTACATCATGCACTGAATGCGTTCTGCGGCTGGGAAAACCTGCTGCTGTTGCTGCTGCACTGACGCACTATTGCGCGATCTCCGTGAGACACTTTGAGACAGTGTGCGGCTGCAGGTGAATCGCTCTCTCCGAGCTGGCGGCAAGCTGTATTCCACATATCCCTGCCCAGACCACAGGGCCTAAATCCTCAGGCTTGTAGGATTATGATTTGGACTGTGACTGAGAAATTCGAGCGGCAAGCTCGGGAATGTTTTGATTTGAACAACAAGACCTCGCCCTGTGCGCAAGCTGCGCACCTGACTCAACCCGCTCGTGATGCCATGCACGGAATTTTGTGCCTGTCCTGTGCAGGACCTCTTCCTCCGAGTCTGCCAGCTTGCTAGCATGGAACAGGAGGACTCTTGAAACGAACAACGAGCTGGGCTTGGACGCAGACGGCCAATGCAAGTCGCAGTTCAGAGCTGTCTCAGTAGATCCACTCCACCCTTGAGCAACATGTTGACTGCCTGCGAAAGTGATAAATCTTGGCAAAGTGTTGATGGCTTTGGTGTACACGATACTCTCTGCATTGAACAGTCACGCTGGAACAGCAACAACAACAAGAACAAGAACAAGAACAAGAACAATAATAAGAACAAGAACAAGAACAAGAAGAACAAGAAGTACAGGAACGATTACAAGGACAAGAACCAGGATGCACACGTAACATCACCAACTGGTTTTCAAACAAACGATTAGTTAAGGTCATTACAAAAATACCAACAACGTTCGAAGAAGCCAACATCAAATGTTCAAGTCAATGCCCTGGCCTTGAGGACCTCGGGTGGGCAGCCAGCCACCACCTCAGGTACGAAAGCTTCCCTTATAAGCCCAGGCCCCCCCCCCTCAAAAAATCCCTAAACCCCAAATTAGCACCCCCTGCCAGGAACCCATGGAAACTTCCGGGCACCCATGTAGAGGAAGCATTATTACGATGCTTATAGGCACCCCCGAATTCAGATAGGCACCACTTCAAAGGAACCAGTGGAACCCTAAACCCTAAACCCTAAAACCCTAATCCCTAAACCCTAAACCCTAAAGTGTAGTACACCACAACCGGCCGCGGCCTTGCTTTTGAGGCGTGCCATCCGGTCCTCGCAGATTGCCTGAGCGAGGTCGGCAACTGGAGGGACGCCTACTCGGGTTTAGGCGTTGGCCGTTTAAAAGCTTCCGCGACTAGGTTTTTTAGATAACGCCTTCAAACTGTTTCTTATTTTTAAGGGCAGATCTCAGATCAAAAAGAGCATAAGAGCAATTCTGGTCGACCTCGATGAGATGTTGTACTGAAACTCCGTAAGAACTCTCAGATCAGAAGATGTCCTAGACGATTATAAGGGTTTTGGGGTTTAGGGTTGGATTGAAACCTCCCACCATAACCAGCACTCTCAGCCTAGGTGGCGCCTTGGCACATGGCACGGCCTTTCGGCCCTAGCCGTTCCCTACGATGGGCTTCTTGGAGGAATCCTCAAACCCCTAAACCCTAAACACCCCCCCCAGACTCCCGCAAACACCCTACTACCCCGGTTTGACTAGGGTTTGGTGTAAGGGTTCCCTCCGGCATTGCTAGGTTGGGGCCGCTACTGGGGGGACGAAATATAAGCGCCAGAAGGCCGTTAACAGGTCTGCTGCACTTGCCGGCACCTCAGGCTTTAGGGTCAGGCTGGGGCCTCGCCGTCAGTACCGCCTTCGCTCCGCCCCTAAACCCCTAAACCCTAAGCGGTCCCACTAGCCCAAAAAAAAGGATCACGAGATGCCCAGCAGGCCCTGAGGTCGCTAGCAGCTAGTGCTCAACAGTTGGTGCCTTTACGGCTTAGGGCTTAGACTTTAATCACTTTTGTCGGCACCGAAACCCAGACCTTAAGCCCTGGACGCTGGACCTTTTGCAGCTAGGCTCTGAGTTGGACCCTAAACCCTGAACCATTTCGATGTTCGATCAGCTCCCGGCCATCTGCTTGACGCGTTGGACTTGTGGCATACACAACCTGGCTGCTTGGTGAGGGCGCTAATTGGTTTAGGGACGAACTGTGCAGTTTGGAAGGAAGCGTCCTATGAAAAAGGAATCGTGCTACAGCTGGACACGAAAACGGCGGGGCAGACGTCCGCGTCTTCAGATGAGCAATTGGTCCTGCGAACCTCAGGCAGGGCAGTCTCTGCCCATCACCACACGGGAATCGCGCATGCTGAGGTCACGTGTTACATGCATCTATGTATGTATCTATGTATGTTTGTTTGCATGCATGTATGTATGTATATACACTCATACGGGGAGGCGGGAAGGAAGGGAGGGAGGGAGGGAGGGAGGGAGGGAGAGAAAGGGTGAGTGGGTGCGGCCGGTTATGGAAGACAAGCAAAAGATTTGCCGACCCTTTTTACACCTGGGCTATGGCAAACCCTAAACCCTAAACCCTAAATGCTTAGGCCTTCTCAAGCCGAGACACTGGACAGGACCAGGGCTGATCACGGTGCGCTCTTCCCTCGGTCGGGCAATCAACGCCGGAACGCAGACACATGTCAGCACGGCTTTCGACTCGCACAGCGCTCAGCACGGTTTAAGGCTTAAGCTTAGGGTTTGGGGCTTAGGTGCTTCCACAACAGCACCGGAACTCAACTCATGCACACAGACATGCGCATGCGCACGTTGAGATCAAGAACGTAAGGCACCGGCGGCTCTGGCATGCTCCGCTCATAACTGATGTCATAAAGGAGACGGCTCCTGGGCCTGAACAGACAGATCCTCTATAATATACCAGGATATAGTAACTATAGATATGCTATAAAAAGACTGTGATATACTGTAATAATATACTATGCTACTGTAATATCTTCTGATATAATATACTCATCCTACCACACGGATCCCTCGCAATAGCGAGCCCTGGCTGTACATGGCTTCCGGCTGGATGTGGTACTTGGGCTGCGAGTCATCTTCTGTCCCATCCTTATCAGCGATGCATATTGGCATGAAATGATTGCAGGCAAACATGAAGCGCCCGCTGTCCTTACTGGCACTTTTATTCTCTTTGCGGTTCGGCACATGTGCACTTCAACGAAACCACGCATATCAGTTTTTGATACGCAGTGCCACGGAAAAAGGCCTGCATTCACAACGGAAGCGCCCTTTTTGTGCCACTCCTGGTCATTAACGTGCACACCGGATGAGGTCGACATGTTGCCTCTTTTCCCCCATCAGGTGCAAGGCTCCTGTGTACAACCGTGGTAGCACGTGCTGTGCACCACGGCGAAGAATGCGAATTCGCTTGACCCAGTGCAAGTATCACATCCCAGCTGTAATCGCCATTTCTTCCTCGTACAACGACTCATCAAACTGTCAAAGCAGCAGGCAAAGGCAGATAGCCATCCGAGCGGCATCATCGTCGAGGTCTTCCTCGTCGCCTTCACCTGCAACTACACCTAAGCCCCAAACCCTGAACCGTATTCTACCCCTAAACCCTGAACCCTAAACCCTACCCCCGAATACCACGAGATCTCAACTCCCGGCCTTGCTCTTGGAGCCTTTCGAGCTCGCGCCTCGATCTCTGAGCTCTTTTAGACTGAAAAAAGGGTCGTTGGGGGAACTAGGGTGTTAGGGGTTTGGGGTTTAGGGGGTTTAGGGTTTAGGGTTTAGGGGCTCCGTCATGAATTTGGGGATTGGAGCCACTCTGAGTTCACTGCAGCTTCCGCAATCTTTGGAGTTCGCCTCGGCATCTATTCGTTGAGGCTCAGTATCCGTGGTTCGTAGTGGCACACTCGTCTTGGTTCCGCGCGTTGCTCCGAATACTTTGTCATGCAGTTCAAGATGCAAGACAGGATGCACCTGGAACAGACCCAACCGTGCACTCATCGTTGTTTCAAGCACTTGGAGAGGCAATAATAAGATTCTTGCCATTATTACTACTATACTTACTGTTACTGGTGTTGTTTGCTTGGCCTCGCAAGGGCCAGAAGGATGAATGATCCGAACAAGCAGAGGAAGCCATAGTGCCAAGTCCTGGGATGGTGGAGCCACATGACCATAGTCTTGCTGCACGGAAATTCCATTA